CATCCCAACAATTACTCCATTCACACCCAGAAGAAGGCAATGGCAAACCCCTTCTGGATCATCTGCCAAGAACGTATATGAACAGGTCCCAGTCCGAGAAAAGGATGGAAGGATCCTGTTCATATGGACCTGTCGTCAGACAGAACACTAAATAAATTCCTGAATTAAAATAAATACGTTATGAGCGCCTTCTATTTAATACAGGCTCTAACATGGACTCTTGGGAACAATCTCTCTCAGTGTTAAAGGTTTCCAACATTTCAGGTTAATATCTATAGGGAAATTAGAAAGCCTTTGTATACATGTGAATAAATTATTGTGATTGGAGGAATAGTGGAGCTCTGTGACGTCAAATGGGTAGTGAACATGTGAACAGGAAGGAGTTTATGGAAAACGTTCTATTACCACGGGTTAGGAGAAAGATTAATGAAAAATATTTTAGCAACTTCAAGATCTACAAAAGGTAGCCTAATGCCAGTACAGTATTAATGAGAAATGAAGTATTTGTCGGAAGTTGCCAAAATTTCACCGCTCGACGCGGTTGATGCACGAAAATCGAAATTAAGATTTGTTACACAATAAAGTCCAGCAGCGCCCTCGTTATGCCAATATTTCTCTTAGTGACATTTTGGTACATGACAAATTCATGGTAGTATAGCTCGGAAGGTAATAATTATATATAAATAAATTACTGTATCTGTTTAGTTTATCATTAGAGCTGCTACTTAATTTGGGGGAGAACATAATTATTATTTAAACAAGGAAACCGCAACATTCTTAAGATTCACGCAGTGTAGTCAAAAATATAAGAAAACATTCTTTGATTATCATCCGTAATGATCTTTACCAGACTACAACGTCTAGCGGTTAGAACGCTGCCCTTGTAATCCTGGGGTCTCGGGTTCGATTCCCGGCGGTGCCCGAATTTATAACTTGTGTTGGGCAAGGCCGTGGTCTAGGCAACACGGAGTTTTCCTCCGTGGCATCCCAACAATTACTCCATTCACACACAGAAGAAGGCAATGGCAAACCACTTCTGGATCATCTGCCAAGAACGTATATGAAGAGGTCCCAGTCCGAGAAAAGGATGGAAGGATCCTGTTCATATGGACCTGTCGTCAGACAGAACACTAATAATAATTAAAAGAAAGATCTTAATATCGGTATTGTTTTTACAAATAAACAGACGATTTGTAAAAGAACGGCACTTATCCTTAAAATCCACTCAGTTTGAACCGTCACAATACATTTGGTAGTAATTTTATTAAAGAAACGAAGTTGAGTTGACTATAGTCATAAATAGCTCAAGACAGCTTTGCCTTACCACATATTGAATCTAGAAACCAGGCAGAATAGGCGAGAGATGGAATTCACTGATGAATAATGAGATTATAAATGAATATATTCTATAGGTTTAGGGAATCTAGCGTCACATACCGCACTAAATTAACCGTAGGAACTAGAAAGGTTTAAACGAGGGAATGTTATTATAATTCTCATAAAAAACAGAGATCAAATTATGTCAAAAACAGGTCACCGGAAGTTAAATTTTATGTATGAAACTGACGCAACATTTCATGGAGTTTAAATTTGCGCTCTACATTTATGCACGTGTTCTGAGAGATTATGCTGAACGTTTTTGGAGCTATTGTGTCTCGTGTGCAGATCATTACTGCTGTGCTGAACACGTTATGCTGCAGATACAGAATAAAGCAGATGGGACTGTGCTTCATTACCGCTGATGTAACCTGCTCTCAGGGCTGACATAAACTGCCTTCATTGCACAGATCACAGAGATGTCGGTTCAAATAACGATCATCTACCGGACCACGTTCAAAATTTTAAATCAGAATAAAAATACGAAAGTACAGAAAATACAAGATGTTATAGAATAGCAGCATTAATTAAATGAACGTTAAACTAATTAAAATCAGTGGTAAATATACTTACCACATTATACAATTAATATATTTTTTTTTCACTTAATGCAAACAAGGATAAGGTCCTTAAATAACATTAACCAGTTGAATCCTGTAATAGAGAAATGTGTTTTCTTTGAGGTAGGGACTGAATTCGTAAATGCTGTTTAAATAAGATCTAGCTCTGAGTTGGGCAGTTATTTGAAAAATCGATGATAATTATGATAGAGTATATTTGTTTCCAAGTGATAACCAAACGATATAAAGTATGATGTAATGGGCTGTGTACGTATCACATACGAGGAAAATGAAAATTGTGTAAAAATTTTGATTTCATAATATAAAATACAGAGAGTACCTTAAGCGACTTAAGGATATTATACGAGATGATAAAACAGGGAGACAAATTCAAAACAATTGTGTCACGTATTATAAACTAATAAATATATATTTAAACAGAAGAAGAAAATAAATAATATAAAAGCATTAAAGGAAACAAATTATGATACAATCTTGTCAAACGACGTTAATTCCATATCTTCCATCTAATTCGGTATTAGTAGTGTGTGGACAAAGCAGCTTCTCAAACCGGCTCCAAATTCTTTCCCTCGAAAAAGTACGTTGAACGACTTGCTTTCAGATCTTGGCATTATTTTCAGCGTATTTTATTGTATTCTTTAATTAAACTACGTAAGCCATGATTCACAACATTCAAATTTGATTCTTTGCCTGCTGATCGTGGCCACTCTATCATAAAATTCATCGCACTGAACTGATATGGGCTACGGAACGCATTACACGTATTGAAATGGTAAGCTGTCCTGAGTTACCTTCATAATACGTGAATATTGCTGCTAAATCAAGGCCTGCGTATTTTTTAATACTGATTTCAGAACGAAATCTACCGGAGGAATTGAAACAGCAGTAACAAATAGATAGATATAGCAAATAGCATATGCAGCAGACATGCTTAATAATACTTAAAGATTAAATATCACTATCCAGTTACATTTAAGTTAACTTACTTGCATTATACAAAGAAACAAAACATGAAGATGACTTTAAGATTTAAATGCGTCATGTTTGTGTTTTATAATTAAAATATATAATAAAATTCAGGTCAATACACAAACTTTATTTACAGATGTTAAAATTTAAAATTTAAAATTTGAGCCTTTCATTGCTACAACGATGTTACAATAGAGCGCCTTCATTCACTACATGTTTCGATGCAAAGCATCATCTTCAGGTGTTATCCTTTAAAACTACTTTATATTACAATGCATGTCTTTCAATTTATTCGTCCGTTTTGTTCAACAGACAGTCAACCTGAGCAGATACACCGTACAACACGATTCATGAATAATCAAATACAAACATAGGATGCATAAAACGGGAGGATCAGCGGAGCATATGATATAATAATGAACAAAACGGATGAATAAATTGAAAGACATGCATTGTAATATAAAGTAGTTTTAAAGGATAACACCTGAAGATGATGCTTTGCATCGAAACATGTAGTGAATGAAGGCACAGTATTGTAACATCGTTGTAGCGATGAAAGGCTCAAATTTTAAATTTTAAATTTTAACATCTGTAAATAAAGTTTGTGTATTGACCTGAATTTTATTATATATTTTAATGAAGATGACTGTCTTCTGGAATTTTTCGCCGTGTTTTCTGATAGAAAAAAACTGAATTTTCAGAAGTGCTTACGTCCTACATCATCATTGACGATATTGTGTTGTGACGTTTCCAGAAGAAATAGAAACTTCTCTAAATAATTGTTCGTCTTTTCACAAATCATAATGTCACATATCTCGACAGCTAAGAGTAGTAGCAATGTCTACAGAGTAGCGTTTTTACTCTAAAAAAATAAATATGAGGCCTGAAATGAGACAAAAAGTGAGTTTCTTTAAACCATGACATACTTTTTTTAATTCAGTTTAGCTGTAATAGTAATTTTCGACCAAAGAATTCTGGTGGCTTGTTCCTAAGAGATGTGTCTCCTTGTTAAATGCCTACGTACCTTTCTAGCGTTTCAAATGTGGCTTGCGAGAACTTCAAGACATTCAGAACGCTGTTAAAGCTCCTTCCTGTCCAAGAGTTGACCATGTAAAACCGAGCATCAGAAGTAGCTGTAATATTTTCCAAGCAAACCACGGCCTTCTTCTGTAGAACTGCTTTCACACTTTAATTACTTTTCTCCTTTCTGTGGCTCTATAAGCCATTATGGGTCTTTTCGGAGGTTTTCCTAGTCTTTGAAGCGTGCATTTGTGAGTAGTGAGTGACCAGCTTACTGCCTCTGCACAGTTTCTGCGCTGTCCTGATTTTGTCTGCTAGAGCCATCTAGTAGGGAATCAGGAGAGACTTGGGTGAGATATGGCCGCTGAATTTTTCTTACGAAACATCTCGTCCATGCTCGTAAGGTTCTTTTACATGCCGTAAGTCTACGACATGAGACCTCTCTGTAGGATTTTTATCACACTTAAAAATCCATCGACCTCGGCCAGGTTTGAACCCGCGAACCTTGGGTCCAGTTGCAAGCACGCTAATGTAATTACATTCGGGTTGTGTTATAAAACAGAAATCTATATTTAAACTAGATACTTTTCCCACGTCTTAATTGTCATGCGATTCCGACAAACAGATCACAGAAATTTTGTAATAATATATGCTCTGACACGTGTATTTTGCATTTCCAATTCCAATACAGAAAACTACAAGCAACTGTTAATGCTCAGACTGCCTAATCTTTACTCATCTCATGTTACATAACAGCTAATAACTGTACTGCTGCATAACTTTTTAAAAACTTGATAATTCTCAGTAACAAATGGTAGGTATTTCCAAGATTTTCATGACTGCTGATAACATTTTTGACTTCTAAGTTTTGAATTATTAACGGCGAACTTTCTAACGTAGTTTCCTGGGTTATGACGCCGTGTCTACGACGTATGTCTGAGTAATTCGGCCATCTTTCCATCTCTAAACACACCTGCGAATTACCATAATTTTCCTTATGTTATTCTAAGATATCATAAAGACGATAGATCACTTTGTTTTATGTTTCTGCAGTTACCATGGGAACGAGGGCGAGAGAGGGGGTCGAATGGTGTAAGTGCGAAAGCTGCCAGATAAATTGCTAGGTTACGAGCCGAATGCAAACAAGTCGCAGGCGGCAGGGAAAGGACAGTTCTCGACTTTGCAGTCCAGAAATTCAAGCGAAGACTCAGAGTCGATCGTCCATGGACTTTGAAAGTCGTTTAATTTTATTCTGTGAATACAGAAAACTCGTAAATCAAATATAAAATTCTGAATTACATTTCCTTCGTTGCTTGCGCGTTGGATGGTATAACAAAACGTATTGTACCAAAGTAATAAAATAATTTTAAGCTATTTAACGACCCTGATTCAAATAAATAGACTATCTTATTTTTTTATTTTGGATGGTGAGTGATATACTTAGGCTATTCAACTTATGTGTTAAACTCCAAGACTATACAGCATCGAGGTGAATAATTTGTTGAATATGTTAAGTTAAATTAGTGATGATATACATGGAGTTCACATTAGTTTATTTGATAACTTTGATTTTTGCTTTTGAAGAAACTAAGAAAATGTTGTTTAATTGTTTAATTTTAACCGTCTAATCACAATAAAATATTTTATTAAATATTAAAATATTATTACTACAATTAACATTTAATATTTAAAATATATTAAAATGATGCTCTTTCTATCGAAATGTTGGATTTACAATTAGAGCATCACCTTTTTCACGACATCTTTCGGTTTTCAATGAACCATCTTCAGGTGTATAATCGATAGTGAAAAAGGTGATGCTCTAATTGTAAATCGAACATTTCGATAGAAATAGCATAATTTTAATATATTTTAAATATTTTAAATATTAAATGTTAATTGTAGTAATAATATTTTAATATTTTAATATTTAATAAAATATTTTATTGTGATTAGACGGTCAAAATTAAACAATTATAATCATCACAATATGACGCTACATTATCATCTTAAGAAAATGTTGTAAAGAAACCTTAGTGATGAAGAATCCATAAGACGACCGGGAATATAATAATGTTCAGATGTTGCCTGGATAAGCCTATTCATAATCGGAGTTTGAAGATTCCTTATGACGTGTATTACGTTGTGATTAATTGTTCTTTTGGGTAGGTTTCTTTTGTTCGGCTTTTACCTTATGAAGAAAACATAATCCACGTAATTTAATAAAATTTAGACGATAGACAAAGTCTAAAAAAACACTGGCTTCAATTCAGAGGTGGAGTAAACCGAAAATCGTTTGTTCTCTTGAACTGGCAAGTCTTACTAAATATAGGGAATGACAAAACATTGAACAATTTTTGTCTGACCAGACAAATGAATAATAATGTAAATGTATTTAGTATTTTGTATTTACACACAGCATTTCGCGATCTATGCCTATAGAGTTCGAGGATTATTAGTCGACATTCATAAAATTATAACTTAATTTCTTTCTAACATAAAATTTCTAATATTTTAATCGAAGAACGAGAATGACAATTCCTTTAGTTTCAAAAACTAAATTATGGAGATGTTTTATTTTGTTAATATTGAGAAACACGTGACTGTTGCGTAGTAATAGGAGTAAAATCAAACTAAAATGCTTAATATCAGATTATTAGGTTATATTCTGGTTCTCACGGTAGGAAGTATGAAGATAGCCGTCTTCTGGATTACTGCACCGCGTAGACTTGTGGAAATTTACAAATTTTCAAATGTCCTTGCTGCCTCCATCGCTAATAAACTTCTACCAAATTACATGGCACGTTATCACAGCAGACAGAGATCTTCGAATTATTACGTGTTCTTCACGCATTTGGTTAAGCTAAGAATACCGATGATTCCGTCTGTATTTGTCGCTTTGAAGAAAACTATTCCACATGTCTCCAAATCTGTGACGATTCTACGTAGACAGAAGAAATTTATTGTTTAGAATTAGTACGACTTTCTTCCAGGGGAAAGACAATTTTAATTTGTTAGCAGTGAAACTGAAAATTATTTACATTGAGAAAAGCAGCTAGGTCTCATTACTGATACGAACTTTAAGTCTTTCGCAGATGCAATTTTGTTACAAAAACCCAACATTTCACCTAGCAATTTGTTCTCAAGATGCCAGAGCTATCTATAAGAAAGAACGGTGTTCGTTCTAAAAGAAACGGGAATGAGAACGCTACAACAAATATATAAAGTGAGTCTTGGAATCGTAAGTCATTGCCTCGAACGTGTGCAGAGTAAGAATTTCTGCGCCCCGAAATTCTGCAGTGTGCACTGAACACGAATCTCTCACCCTCTCTGTTTAACCTCAACCCCAGTATTCACTCACACTCGTTCCAATTTCGAAAATTGCCTCCGTCCTTTCATCTTGTATCCTACGAACCCTTTCCGCTCCTACCATCCAACAGCAAGCGAACGAACCATCCGAAGACACTGCACTGTGGTATAGCTGGCAGAAGGATGGTTCACACTGGGTGTGTGATCATTTACGTTCAAAGCGACAAGAACATTGTTCAGGTTAAAATCTTCATTCCTTCCTCTTCAATTTGTTGGGAAAACTCAATGACGAATACATCTCTTCTGTGAACGTACCCTGCCTGTAGGCCAGTGATTCTTACCCAGAAGTAAAATATAAAATAAGACAATTGTTAATATTACATTAAAATCTGTAATTAAATTAGTGTAATGTTAGTGGCAATTAGTATTGATGGTGGTGTACAACAAGGACGATGTAAATTGGTAAGGACTCCGTTTATAGAGTCTTATACAAACAGTAAATATCTATGTTTGTGTACGCGAGGTTTTATGTTACTCAATTCTTACACAAATTGAATTGAGTGCAGTGCACTTTGTTAAATATAATTTTTATTACGAAAAGTAATTATTAACGTGGTACCCCTAAACGTTGATAGATTCTTACAAGAGAACGAGACAGTAGAACTGTTAAAATAATATTAATTAAAACCCATTACGATTGGAACCGAGCCAAGTAAGATTTCTAAATATTGATGTAGTTATAATATAACTTTTAGTTCTCTATTCCATTTCTAGTGCGCAGCGGGCAATGCTGTAGGCAGTGGCGTCTTCATTAGTTAGAATGGTGGGAACTCACATCGACCGTTTGTGGACTTGCTAACGTAGATTCTGAATTGTTACTGTATTTAATTAATTAAAGTTATCAATTACGATAATTATTTAAATGAAATTTGTGCATAGTTTAACAGCCATTTAACACGTACCACACAGGCAGCGCTGCACTTAATTTAGTCCTATTACAAGATTTAACTACTTCCAAAAAGAAGCCCAATTCTTCCTCGAATATTATCTTGGATTGTTTTTCGTCATTTCAATTTTTTATTTCTCAACTTTTCATCTTTTTCCCCATTTAATAATATCCAGTTTTTTATTATATATACAGATATACAGTAAAAAATGAAAGAAATTTATCGTAGCGGGACACACTGACAGGCAGAATGTTCTGGGAACTGATAACTTTTCAATGCAAAATTGCATGGAAATTCATCACATGAAGCAATAATTTAAATTTACAATTTTTCTTTTGTTACTGCTCTCTACGAAGGGCGTAGTTTGTTAACCCATAAATTCACTGACTCTGTGAGAGCCAGAGAGCTTAGCTTGATGAACTTTAAGAATAAATTTCACTTTTTCTCCAAGCCATTTTTAGTTACTTACTAAATCTCCGTTCTAAACGTTAATAAATTACTAATGCGTAAGTACGCGCAGAATCTACTTACTTATTTTACTGAACAGAGAAACACGAAAGAGAATGGCATTAATTAAGAGACGGGACCAATTGGAAATTTTTGTGAACTTTGGTGAATATTAAACAGTAAAAAGTAAAAGTGAACTCTTTCACTCGGCTGGTTTACTTCGGTAAGATATGGTTAAATTTATACAAATTTTGTACCCTAATAACTCGAGGAATAAAGGATTTTGATATTATATATAGGAGTTTATCCTTTATTGTGCGTTTCTCTGTTGTTCGATATATCGAAACTGTCTCTGTGGAAATGCGACAGTCAACGGGTCCATCGTCCCTCCGTCACGTTACATAAAATCGAAAATTTAGCATCTGTAAAATGATAAGGACGGGGGAAAAGGACTTACCTAATCACGGGACACGCTATGACACGAAACTGTTCTTTAGTTACATGAAAGTTCCATTTTTAACATTTCAGAGTGTGAAAATTCAAATACCATTAATTGGTATTAAGATAATAATGTTTTGACCGTAGAATTATATTGCGCAGTGAACGGGTTGTGTTCAAGTACAAATGAATAAATTACACTTTCATTTTCTTTACTGATGGACGTCATTTGGATACACGCCAATGAATGATAACTAAGCAAGACGTCCTAATTATAAGATTTCATTTCAGGAAAGAAGTTTTCGTTAGGAAGCTCTCCACCCGTTGCGCTGTATAATAATTTCGATACAAAACTTTATTTTCCTCTGATATCCAGTAAACATTTGTGTGTGTTACGTGGAAGAAAGTTTAAATACAACCACTAAATAGAATCACAGCCAAATAAAGTGACCTGATGGATTTAATTATATTTTTCATCGATCTGTTTAGAAGCCAAGTCTGGGTCTCACACGATTTTGATCAGAAGAGAGAAAATTACTGTCTATCTATCTTTTAACCTTCAGAACATTTCCGTCTAGCCGTATTTTCCCCTAGACACGTGGGTTTTCCATTCTCCCCCTCGCGTTACGAACTTCGCTTTTCGTTAATCCGATTTAAAACGCAAGTAATCCGAACAATTTCGCTTGTCTGCTAGCTCACACTCAAAAACGAGCAGGGGGAGAGTGTAAAGGACGTCGGAAAAAAGAGGGGGAGTTGAGAAGGGGGGGATTTTAATGTTTGTTTTGTTTACTTCTTCACAAGTTCGATCGTTTTAATCCCGTGACTGAACAAACAGAAGTAACTCTAATGCATTGGGTCGGGAGGACATCCTACAGCCCACAGAAACAGGTCACAGGTGCATTTCTGGGGCCAGAACAGCAGAGAAACCAAATTAAAATCAGTGAAGCGAACTTGACCTTAGGTGACAGGAACGGTATCCGATACCAGTGTTCCAGACACAATCCGATCGATGTTGTGGAAAAAACACGTTCAGTTGTATACATAACATTCACAGATACGCCTAAATTCATTTACGTTAAGCCACGTTTTTATTACAAGGTAAAAATATAGGAGAATAATACTTTCATATTCGGGACTATTTAGGATGAAACGAAATTGTGCGCTGGACGCCATAATGGTCCTCACAGGCCTCTAATGAAATGTCTGGAATTCTTCAACAAGGCGGCTGTAGTG